TTGTAGCATAGCTTGAGATCAGGAAGTTTGACACTTCAACTTTGTTCTTCTTTCTCAAGATTGCTTTGGCTAGTTGAGATCTTTTGTGATTCTAGTTAACTTTTAGGATTATTTTTTCTAGTTCTGAGAAGAATGACATTAGTATTTTGATAGGAATTGCACTGAAGTTGTGAATTTGTATAGTATGGTCATTAAAACAATATTAATCCTTCCAATCCAATCCTTCCAATCCAATCCTTCCATTTATTTGTGTCCTATTCAATTTCTTTCTTCAATGGCGTACAGTTTTCAGAGTACAGGTCTTTCACTTCCTTGCTTAAGTTTATTTCTAGGGACTTCATTCTTTTAGACATAATTGTAAACGGGACTGTTTTCTTCATTTCTCCTTTTGTTCATTGTGCATGTATAGAAACACAATAGATTTCTTTATATTATTTTGTATCCTGCTACTTTACTGAATTCTATCATTTTTTGGTGGATTCTTTAGGGTTTCCTATATATTATATAGTATGTAATCCACAAATAGAGACAGTTTTACTTCTTCTACTCCTGTTTGGATGCCTTTTCTTTCTTTTTCTGTCTGATTGCGGTGGCTAGGACTTCCAGTACCATGTTAAATAACAGTGCTGAGGGTCAACATCCTTGTTTTGCTCCTGATCTTAAAAGAAAATGGATTTCCCTTTAAGCTTTTCACCATTGAGTATGATGTTAGCTGTGGGCTTGTCATATACAGCCTTTATCAAGTTGAGGTTAAGTTCCTTCTATACCCACTTTGTTGAGTTTTTATCATAAGCAGACATGGAATGTTATCAAATGCTTTCTCTGCATCCATTGGGATAATCATATAATTTTCATTCTTGGTTCTGTTTTTGTGATGAATCACATTGTTTTGTGGATGTTAAACCACCCTTGTATCCCTGGTACAAATTCCACTTGCTTGTAGTGTATGATCCTTTTAAGTTACTGTTGAAATCGGTTTACTAGTATTTTGTTGAGTATTTTGGCATCTATGAAGAACACAATTTTAGTATGTTTCTCTTCTTTTTGGCAGCCCTCGTAAATTATCTTGTGTTTAATGGCTGATCTGAAGGTTTTCTTGAGTATTCTTATGCAGGCAAATATATCATAAGGAAAAAAGCAGTTTTCTTTTGCTTCCTTTCCACCTTTTACATAACACATTCCCCCCCTTAACTTACTGTAATAACTAGCACCTACAGTACAACTGAACAAAAATGTGATTGGAGGGTATTCTTGTTTTGTTTTCGATTTTCAATGGAAATCCTTTTGAAACTTCATTAATCATGATGTTGGACATAGGTTTTTATCAGAGAAAGAGGTTTTTTTCTTTCTTTTGTTTTTTGTTGTTCATGAACGAGTGCTGAGTTTTATTAAATTTTTTTTCTCAGTTTACTTAAATGCCTGCCTATGACTTTTGTTTACTTAAACTGTGGGCTGGGACCCATTCAATAGTAGTAAAGTAAGTTTAATGTACTGGCAGACCAGAATTTTTTAAAAAGAAACCATATAACAGAAGGTACCAGACTACATCCCAAGACGTAAGATAGATATTATTTGGTAAAACTTTTGTTTTAGCTGCTTTCACAAATACACATGTACATGCTCTGCATTGCTAAGTAAAACCTCCTTCTTACTGTGGATTGTTTAAAAAGGTTTTAAAGCCACTGATCTCTACTTTGAAGCACGAAAAACCACTATAAAGGACAAACATCATAAGGTTTTCTTCAAAATAAATAACACAATATTTGGATTTTGCTCATTTAAAAATACCCAGCTTCTCCTGATATTATTATGTAAATATTCAATTCTTTAAAATATTTTACATTATTAATATTAAAATAGTAAACATAATCCCTTTATGGGCAAAATGGCCCACATTCACATGAACATCCAAAGTTACTCAAAAGTAACAGAAATAAATGAAGCACGAATTTCTGACAAGGACTCTTCTGCAAGGATCACTTTCACAACGTTTTCAGAATGTATAATTTCTACAGCTACAGCTTTCATCATATTTTCAAATGTTTCTGACTTTAAAAGTGAAAGAACCTTTACTCCATGAAGTTCAATGTTAGTTTATATTTCTAAAATCAGAAGGTAACTTGGCATTTACACTGCTTCAATCACATTTTCTGCCCTGTTGTATTGGGACTGGCTTATTCATCTCTTAGCTGTTTATATTACTTCATCCTTTGCTGACTAACTGCCTTGCCTTGTTTGTGGTTATAAAAACTAATATGCCCTCAAACCCCACCCATATACAAATGGCCATTCAATGTTTCCCTTTGCCAGTCACTACTGAAACTGCCCTTTAGGACATGTTAAGATTTTTCTTTACTTGTGACAAAGAAGTTATATCATTCACCTTATTCACTAGATTTATTTCTGGAAGATTTGTGGCTGCCACCTGATTATGCTGATTATGATTTTTCACCAGTGAGGCTGTTTAAAAGGCAACTCCCAAAGAGGAGCTCCAACACGTCCTGCACAATGGCAGCATTGTTGGTGTGTCTAACCTACCAAACAGGCTACTTTAAGGAAAGCAGTCACTTGGGTATAATAATTTTGAAAAAAACATTTTTTTAACTCACGTTCCCTTCTTGATATCCCACATACACTGGCATTCTCTAGTAAAGCCACTTTTCAAACAAATCAGCATTGCACAGACATTTTAAAGACCACAGTATTCATCTTAGCAATGATGCTGATATTGAGTGCCAAGTATATAAATCTAAAGCATACAGCATCACTGCTTCTAACTGCAATTTCTAAAACTTCTAATTCTGTAAAAGTATGCTAATCCCCTGGTTGTTACTGGGTATATATATAATAGTATGGTATTCAAACTGAAAGAAAGCTTTCTTTATAGTCTTTTTTAAAAAGTCTCCGAAGTCAACTTACATAATACAGTGGAACCTCGGTTCTTGAACTTAATTTGTTCCAGAAGGCTGTTCAAGAAGCAATTTGTTTAAAAAAAAAAAAATTCATTTTTTTCCCTTTAGAAATACAGTATCAACATGAAAGCATTGCTGGGTTGAAAACCAAAGTTTTGTTTGACAACTGAGATATTTTTTCCACAAACGACCTGGTCAAGAACCAGATTATTCAAGATGGGAGATGTCTGAGAACCAAGGTTTGACTGTAAGCATAAATTTGAAAGTGCACTAAACAATCTATTAGTTATATGTAATTTTATAATCCCAAAGCAGTATTTTTAAAATTATAGCAACCTGTTAACAACAATACATCTGTTAAATGGGATTGGCAGGAATAGATGAGGAAGAGGGAGACTTTTTGTTTTTTACTTTAAATACTTTAGTACCAATTAAATATTTAAACAATTTTAGTAAAAACAAAAACAAAAAAAACCCCGCTGAATTAAAAAAAAAGGGTACAATTATAAAATCAAGACTCTACACTGATTTTTTTTTTAACACCCTGTCATGCCCACCTCTAACCTCCTTCCAGACTGCAGCACTTTGAGAAGCAGAGGCCTTGTGTGTCTTCTGTAGCATTATACCTCCCACAGAGCCATCCCCATAGCTGGATGCTATGCATGTAGATGTTTAGAGGAGAAGGCAATGGGAGCAGGAGGATTCAACAAGCCTTGAAGTGAGCATTAATAATAGCACTTCTGTTTAGAAGTGAAGGGGACCAAAGTTTTGCCACCCTGAAGCTGTCTTCTGGGATATTGTTATTAAGCTGTTTATTAAGAAATAAGACACAGAAGAACTTGTGACCCTTCCCCTTCTTGTCTATGAGATTTAGATGGGAAGGTCTATTCCAAGAAGGGAATTTTGTTTTAGCTTAATTTGAATTAAGTATGGTAAACAGGAGGACTTCAGGCAAGGGCCTGTTAGCTAGATATCTGAAGTCCCATTGTTTCTGAGTTGCCTAGCAAGGGTCTCCCTGCCATGCATGTTACCCCCTTCCTCAACTATCTGTAAACTGCCCCATTCTCACCTCTGAAATATAACACCAATTCCCCCACTTTTCTCTTTTGTCCAAATTATCATATATACTTAATATTGCCTCGGTTTTTTTTTTTTGAAATTTTCATGCTTATGTGACAGCTCTGTATGCGGAAATTATGTTAAATGCATAGGGAAAATAAAATTTTATTTTCTCCTGTTAATTTGTCTTTGTTAACTTGATTATTAGCCCATCTAGAACTTAGTGGGAGAACAAATATAATTTTTTTTAATCCCTATTAGAAAGTAGACTTTAGAAAAGATCCATTATGTTATCCATTTGAAATTCTGGTTAATATCTATTACCAACTCTGTTCACTCCTCTCCGTAAACATTTTGACCCCTGTTTGAACGGGATGGCCAGAGTAAACCCTCTACAGAGCAAATAATTGCTTAGGTCACTCTTACCACAATTTGACAATATCATCCTGAGTATTATATACAGAATCCAATCCCAAGGACCTGATTCTTGTTTGACATTCTTCTTTTGGAATTTCATTGTTATGAAAAAAAAAATTATGGTACATAAAAACAATGGAATACTACGCAGCAGAAAGAAAAAAAGAAGTACTAAACTTTGCGACAGCATGGATGGAACTGGAGAGCATCATTGTTATTGTTTCTAATCTCTGAATTTAATTCTATACTTTGCTACCCAACAAACTCACTTCATATTTGGTCACTATGCTCAATAACCTATCACCTCCTCCATGAAGTCTGTATACTTAAGCTTCAGCTACACCTCAGGTCATGAGTCACAAATATAGGTGCCTACACCGGTACTAGGCAGATACCTTAAATATAGGGGCGTAGTTTAAGAAATAAAAGGAGGTAACGATGACAAAACAACCACTTCTCAGTGCTAGACTGTGCGTTTATAAAAAACGGTGTAGGGAAAAATTAGTTCTGAAATCCTCTATCCTGAACTGTAAAACACAATACTATGCAAAGAGGCCATGGGTTTAAATGAGGTCAAGCAGAACTAAGGCATGAAAGCTGCTGTTGACAAACCTGTTCCAAATTTGCTGAAGGGGTGTTTAGGATTCCCCGTAGCTTTTTCCAACTGAAAGAGTCTCCAAGCATCGTTCATCACATTCTTCTCATGTTCTGAATCAACGGCATTCACCTCTCTGTCTTTGCAACTCTCATCAAACAAGGGGCACAGAAAAAACTGTGCAAACCTAAGGGTGTGAAACATAATTTGAAAACTGTTACTTTTAAAAAACTGGTCTTTAAAAAATGTTTGAAACTTAACAGATAGGAAATATGAAACCTACAGAACCAGAAAAAATGACCCTTGCTACTAAGAAAGAAGGAAATACATTCTAAGTAACAGAAGAAACCTGTAATGCTGGACATATAAGTTTAGGAGTCAATCTACCCCAGAGATGCTATGTAATTAGTGAAAATATAAAAAGATTAACACCCCTGCTTCAGAAACCAATTCCCATGTGTTCTTTCCACACCACCAAACAATCCACCGACACCAGCTGGGTATGCCACAATTCAGCTCAATCATGACACTATCTACCTAAAAATCAGATGCTCAGTCCTATGAGACTCCCCACTTCTGACCCAAATCATATATCCAGGTTGTCACCTAGGCTTCTGACCAACCCTCTGAACAACAGATTGATTGCAGGATTCTACAACTTCCTCCTCAGGTTCAATTAATTTACCAGAGCAGCTCACAGGGCTCAGAGAAATATTTTATTTACTAGATTACTGGTTTATCATAAAAGAATATAATTCAGGAACAGCCAGATAAAAGAGATGCATAGGGCAAGGTATGTTCTCAGAGGAGCCTCCACACACTCTGGGCGCACCTTTCACCAAATCTCCATGTGGTCAAGTGTAGGAGCTCTCCAAATTCTATTCTTTTGAGGTTTTAGGGAGCCTCCGTTACATTGGCATGATTGATTAAATCACTGGCCATTGATGACTGAACTTAATCTCCAGCCCCACTTCTCTCCTTGAAGGTCTAGGGTTGGGACTACAAGTTCCTACTCTCTAATCACACGCTCCCACTCTCAGGTTACGCAGAGGCTTCCCCAAAGTCCTCAAAAACCTAACAAACGACATCCTTATAGCTCTCATCACTTATGAATTTGCAAGCATTTTAGGAGTTACAAGTCAGGATTAGAAAAGAAGACCAAATATATTTCTTATTATAAATCACAGTGTCACAACAGCAAAATCAGGGCAGACTTACAGAGACAGCAGCAATTTATTTGCCAGATTTGCAATTTGGCATATCTATGAAAATCCTTGTTATACGTGGCTAATTCTCCAAAAAAAGGAAAAGGCAGGTGGTAGTTCTTAGGCAAATAAATCTTAAACTTACAGTTTTAGGTGCAATATCACTAAGACTCAGACATTTTAGGACAAACTAAGTGACGTACTTTTAAAAGACTCTATTTGAATTTTTCCCTTTTGGAGAAAAACAAATAAACCTACTCATTAGTGGAAAAAACAGAGTGAAAAACCAATGACATAGTAGTTTGACTAACATAACTATGGGCTGCTATGAAATATTGAGTATTTCAAAATTTTAATAATATGCTTTTATTGAAGCTATTCTTTAATAGTAGTACTAAAGTTCAAGTACAGTACCGTTAATAAATTAACTCTCCTATATCAGTTTGTAATTGAAATCATGATTTCATAGTAAGTTTTAATTAGTAAGTTCTTCTTAAGAAACTTTAGCCTCCATCTTAGAAAAACAAGATCCAGAACTCAGATGAAACCAGGAGTAGTGGGTCTGTCTGAACGGAACTACCATTCTGTGGACCTAAGAGACTCTTGAGACTGTACGTCTGAGCAACTGCACCTCACACAGTTCAGCTGTCAAGGAGGCTGTTATTATTTGATATTTATTTTAAGTACACAGTGAATATAGTACTAAATACTTCACACATACCAATCCAAAGAGCACTCTATCTATCTGTAGTCTACAATCAAGGATATATTAAAACAGAGCTATTTCTGGACATGTAACCTCTTTTACCTACCTCAATATATTCAGGCTGGGAAAAGTGCCTAATAGCCGTATACTGTAGCTGGATAGGCCCACGTAAAGGGTCACGATTATGACACAGTACCATATAAGCAATTTTTTAAAAAGATGCTCTTGTACAAGTGATTTTTCCACTCTGAGTCAAGTAACATATATCCTCCATCATACAGAGATCTTTTGTATGAACATCTGCAGTACCATTGGTAAAGCAGGAAATTAAATTCAGTGTATGATCCCAGGGAACTCATTAATGTTAGTCTTCTGGGAATACATATAAAAGATGACTATACCTCAAAGCTGCTGCCTAAAGATTGAAACATAAGCTAGAATAAGTAAGAAACAGGCTACTCTGACCCAGCCACGTATCCTGAACCCATGCTTTCCCCCTGTTAATATTCTTTGCACTAAGGAAAAAAATCAAACTATTAGGTTTCTTAAAAAAAATAGAATGGCTATTATTAATATAAGTAAGCAAATACCGTTCACAATTACTAACCCTGCAAAGTCAAACCCATCGCAGACCCACTAAAGAGGTTCAGATTACTCCTTGCTAACACAGAAAACTATAAAAATTCACCAAGACAAAATTACACTTTAAACAATGAATCAAATCACTGATATAACAAACAGTTTTAAATTGTTAGTTATATATAAAATTGACCAAGCCCTGGCTGGTGTGGTTCAGCGGACTGAGTGCCAGCCTATGAACCAAAGGATTGCTGGTTCGCCTCCCAGTCAGGGCACATGCCTGGGTTGCGGGCCAGGTCCCCAGGAGGGGGCGCACGAGACACAACCACACATTGATGTTTCCCTCTCTTTCTCCCTCCTTTCACCTCTCTAAAAATAAATAAATAAAATCTTTAAAAAAAAAAAAAGAAAGAAAGAAAGAAAGAAAATTGACCAAGAAATTAAATTGGCATAAGGGAGCTTGCTATAGAAAATACTTTCACAAAATGTCTCCAGGGTTGAAACTGCAGGTCAAAACATTTTATATCTACTAAGTATTCCTGAGAATAGGGTATTTACGTTACAGAATTCTGGAACAGAAATATGTTTGAAAGAGACCCATGGAATTATTACAGTTTATTCTTCATCACCTATTTCATATGTAATACCAGTTAGAATAGCAAGGACTGATGAGAATTTTATGTCAGTAAAACATTCTACAGGCCCACAGGCTGGTTAAAGTCATACCATTATTTTTTCTCTACAACAACGTAAATATTTGAGACCACTTATTATTATTTTTCTTTTTTACAAAACTCAGGGAAAAAAAATACAGATTAAAATACCTTTTGTTAAGTTATAAAACCATGAAGACATCTTTGTAAAAATAGTAATTGTTCCTGTTACTAGTATTAATGTGGTAAGTATACAAGGTTGGATAATTCATAGAGTATTCAGCATTACCTGTCTAGGGCACCTTCTAGGTGTTCATGGGAAACATCAAAATAGTAATTGGTATGCTCTCCACTAGTAAAAGCATTTGAACTTCCTGCATGCTCACTGAGAAACTGGCTGTATTCATTTTCTTTAGGATATTTCTTTGTTCCCAAAAATAGCATATGTTCACAAAAATGACTTAGGCCAGCAATATTTGGAGGATCTGACAATGAACCTGAAAAAGTAGAGAAACATACATATAGGTACATACATAATAAATCATTTTTATGTGGAAAGATATTAAGAACAGGCAAATTAACAGATGATCTGAAACTTCTGTTAGCATGACATCTCCTACCATACAATTAGAGTTAAGCATAGGCTGCTCTAAAATGATATTGTTTAGTTCTAGCCCCATCTTTTGACATTAATTAGTTGGTGACCCTGGGCAGATTTCAACCTCTCTGGGCATTACTTTCCTCGCACAATATGTTGGAGGGCAAGAGTTGAATTCACTGTTCTGTTGTTTTGTGGGTTTCTTTTTTGCAGGAGACAATATAGCATAGTGCTGAGGGCACTGGTTTGGGGGTAAGCAGCTCTGCCAGCTGTGAAACTTGAGACAGATACTTTATCTGTCTTGCTTCAGTCCTTTTTCTCTCTCTATATGTAACTTAGAGGTGTGTGAATAAAAATTAGATGATACTTGCAAAGCATATTGCAGGGTGCTCAGCAATAATTATTTGTTCAACGTATGGTGATTATTACTTAATTTTCTCAATTTTAAAATGCCACTGAGTTAAATAAAAGCTTTCCAGAGGGGGGGAAAAATGCCTCACTAAATGTACATTAGCTAAGAAGCAACCTGAGTAAAGCAGCATTAAATATGGAAGAAATGTACACACAAGAATCTAGGAAATATAATATCTCCTAGTGTACCAAAAGTTTACAGAAGTGAAAGCATTGGAACTGTTTCAATAAAGGATGGGAATGGATGTCCTTGCTGCTAGGCCACCGCAGCTGGGAACCTAACAAGATACTCTTGATAAATGTAAAACTACTTGATTTAGGCAACTGCAGATTACCAATAGCTGTACAAACATGTATATATAGGGCTACTGTACAAAGTAAGGTACATTAAACTGACAATGTTAGGTAGGTCTTTATTTGAACAAATATGGAAAGTTCTAATAAATGTCAGTATTAGGTCAATGAAACTGAACAAAGCTTAATTCACAATTTTAAATTGTACCTATGTGTACATCAAGTGCTGCTGAAGACTTATCTGTGGTGGGATCGCTGATGAGCAGTACTTTGATGCCATTGGCCAGTTCTAGCCCACGATATTCTCGCTTATCTTCTGGAGATTTGATAATGTGATTTTCTAGTCTCTTGATAGCTGGATTATTCATTTTGCTGTAGGTCTTTTTTTGGAAACTTAAAAGAAAAAAGTTAACTGTTAGTCTGTGGTGTTTTTTTAAAAGAACAAAGTAACATCAAGCAAATCTATACAGTGCATCACCAGATTAAAAATACATATCTGGAGGAAACTTTACAGCCTATCTACAGAGTATAATTCCACTCCTCCCACCCTCGTACCCATCATTCTTTCAGGGAGGTGCTAACAATACTGTTTTCACAGGGCCATATTTAGGACAGCACACGGACGGGCATTTGAGACAGAACGGGTTGGACCATGAGTTGGTCAATGTGCTGACCTAGTATAGTTTTCAATTACCAATAACTGCTTTCCACATACTTCAGAGGCGTCTGCTAAAGTAAATAAGGTGAGAGGTGTAAGAATTATTATTAGGTCATCAAAAACATTGGTCAACCTGATGATATTCAAAGATAGGGCAGATCTAGAACTCATCAGTCTGGTATGTACATGCTTAGAACATAGGGAACAACCTCCAACGAGGGAAAATCCTGTTAAGTCTTAATACAAAATAAGAGACCTGGGGTGTCCTATGAGTCATGGCAACAAAAGCAGGAAACATAAAAACAAACAAAGTTGGAAGGACCTCAAGTAATTTGTGTAGTCTGGTGCAGAGGTGAGTGCCAGGGCAGGAACAAGGGCAGGGATCTTAGCAGAGATGTTAAACTGTCTTCCAAACGAGTTCCCTCCCTTCTCTCACAGACCTCTCCTTTCTTCCCTAAGAAAGCTAGAGCTACAGTGATGGAAAAGGACTATCAGCAGAGTCCTGAGGACTACAGCCATGCAGGGATTATTAGTGTCGTGATGGGATTTCCACAGTCTGGGGTATGTATGTTTTTGACACTAAGAGTGGGTGTTATTTCTGTCTATGTTGGGAACTGCTTAAGAGAGGAAAACTAAGCCTGCTATTATTAGCATGTCAATATACTAATCAAGTAAAGCCAAAAACCTATCTGAAACTATAGAGGAAAAATGACCCTTTGTTAACACATCTGCTTCTCACCTGGGAGAAAAAAGAAATGGATCTGACTGCTCCTTAAAGACTGACAGACATCCGGATTTAAAAGTAAATCAGAGTGGACATAAATAGACATACAATTATATTGGATCAAAGCTTTATTTTTTTGTGTTAAAATCTCTGGAGATTAATAGAGGGAAAACTCCAGTTTCCTTTTATCATAAAAACTTCTTTTCTAAAATCTGTAACTATTCTTCTGAGTAAGAATCGATAAAGTAAAGAGGTTTGTTTGCTCCTATTAAGACTGTCCCTGATGTTTTCTTTTGAAGAGAATATTTGGAATATTAAAGATCAGTAGTATAAGTCATACTAAAGGTACAATACTGGTTTTTAAAAACCAGATAGTACTTCACAGAGACACTGTTAATAGTCATGTCCTATTTATAGTAAAAGTTTCTTGAAAAAAAAAATAATACTAACATTTTTGAAATGTAGGCTCACTGTTGGAAAATTCAAAAGCAATTTGGAAGTGAAAAGGCATTATAAACAACTCCTTTCTATTTCATAAGCCATAAATCACTTTTAAGATCAATGTCAAAGGCAGATGGAAATATCTGAGTGCAAAGTCTTAAAAAGTGATATTTTGTGGTTAAAAAAAAAAATCGCAAGGTAACTGAATATGGTCCATCTAAGCCTCCAAAGACAGGTTAAGGTATTTCTCCAAGGATAATCTGTTTGGACTACAGCAATTGCCTTCAATACATAGCTGGTTACTAAAACCCTAATTTGGATCGAATATAAAGTACTTTTTTAAAAAATGAGCTCTAACCTAGTGGCAACATTAAGAGTAAATAAGCCATCAGACAGCCTCCATTAAGAGGCTGCAGAAGAGCAGCATTAAAAAGGTGGGTAGCTCAGTTGGTTAGAGCACTATCCCCATATGCCGAGGTTGCAGGTTCAATCCCTGTCAAAGCACATGTGAGAATCATCCAACGAACGCATAATAAGTGGAACAACAAATCAATGTTTCTTTCTTGCTCCCCTTCCCCTGGGAGGCTCTATTAGAGGAAGGGAGGGGGTGAGGATTCTGATGATGAATTCCACTCAGTGGGAGCAAAAACTATAGGCTATTTTGGCTTCGTTGCCATTGGTTACACCCAAAGCCCTCTACTGTCCTTTCCCCACTGGTTTGATTAAGGGAACCAAAAGTTACGAGTGATTAAAATGTAATAATGATGATTCTGACGCTGATGGTGGAGCTCTGACCCACAACTGTAGTGAGAAGATGAAATACAGCTCACTTTGGTAGGACAAATTGTCTTATTCTGTGGGAGGTGAAAAATTCACTATAATTAAGATAACCACCCTCAACTATAGGCTACATTCTGTACTTTTTTCAGAGTTCAATTTCTCTTGTTTGGATTTTCATTTTCATAAAGGAAAAAATATGATCAGAGGCATTATATAACTCATTTGGGCACTGAAGCTATCTATGCCTGATTAATATCCCTGGTGTGGCTAAGAATAAAGAGATAGATTTATTCTACAAATCAAACATAAAAATTAGTCCAGCTACTTTTAGACATTTGTATACAAGATCGAGGACAACTACAAATTCCCAAGCTGGCAATGCTCCCAAATCATGTATTATAACTACTTGAGGAAACAAAAGGCAAATGAAATAATAGCAACATTTTCAAACAAGACACTTCCCAGCAATCCATATTCAATAGGCACAGGCTGGCTTTACCTCTAGCATATCTATCAACGTATCCTGTAACAAGCTGATTCTCACCTTCTGGGGAACTGAAGGAAATGATCTGGAACTCCTCCTCTGACAATGAATTCATCAACAGCTTGCCTGTCTCTGTATTTATACTCACGAGATCACATGTCTATCCATCTCACCTCATTAGCATAAAGCCTTCAAAAGTAATTTTATTTATTGCAAATGTTCTCCAATATGCACCAAACAAAGAGCAAGAAGCAAGCATTCTAATTTTTAGATGACAAGCTAGTGCTAAATAAAATGCTTTACCAGACATTTACTTGGTATTTTTAACCTGTCAAAGTCAAAATCTTAGAAGCGATAAAATTACTTTCAACTTCAGGGACATAACCATACATTGGAAACTTCACCGTAAGACACAAAATTGTCAGTGTTCAGCATTCTAATAAAATTGAAGAGATTTAGTAATTACAGCATTATTCTGTAATTTTGTTCAGAATTTAAAACAATGACTAAAAACATAGAAGGTAAAACCTGGACGAGCCATTAGATGTTATCTAGTTCTTTGCAGTTCATGGACTAGCAACTCTGACTTTTCTTCTTTGGGAGCTTGTCAAAATGTAAAATATCAGAAACCACCAGAGACCTACTTAGCCGAAATCTGCATTTTAACAAGATCCCCAGATGGGCTACTTCCCTATCTTATTCATAAGGAAACTGAAGCTCAGGGACCTGAACTCACTTGTACAAGATCATACAGCAAAGAGTTACAATTAGAATTCAGTTCTTAGCTGTGCCCACCCCAGTAACCCCATATCCAAACAAGTATTTAAGGAGGTCTATTAAGATCCAGACACTATACCACACATGCTGGCTACAAAGATGAGTATGCCACAGCCCTTACTCTGAAGGAATCCAGTCTAGTGACAGATAGGAAAACAAGTCATCTTTTAACTGCGGTGCCATTATAGTTGTCAGGGCACTATAGGAGTAATGAAAGGGGGCCACCTAACTTTCTGGGAGGGAAGAGAGGAAAGAGAGTGAGTGAAAGCATGCCAAATAAAAGGAAGGGAATATCTGAGCAAACAACTGGTGGTGAGGAAAAAAAAACACAAGGCATAAAGTGGAAATACAAAAGCTTGATGTTAACAGACGTACAACCAGAACCTCCACTGAGAGACCCTAGACTTCTACCTTGACATATAAAGGCCTGAACTGCAGGTCTGCAAAAACGAATTCCCAAGTAGGTCATTTCCAAATTCTCATACCAAGAAGAAATTTTTTTCTGCAAATAATCTTTTCTTCGGATGACCTTTTACAGTCTTTTTTCTCTTATCTCTTTAAGTATTTCACAGTGTACCGAATAGATTGAGAAACATTATTTTGCCTTTTGTTCCCTACCCACGCCATAGTCCCAGACGTAAAGTTAGACCTGATCCATTCCTAATTCTAAATAAATGACCTATAAACCCAAACATGTAAATGATCATGCTAATAGTCAATTACATATCAAAACCTCCCTTCTGTGGAATCCATCCACCTACTCCCAAACCACAGGCGGAAGTTGAGCTTACCCAATGGTACTTCTGAATGAGGGAATTGTCCAAGGAGAAAATGCCTGAAATCAGAACCACACCATAAACATTTCTTCCTCATAGAAAGCAAAGGGAAGTAAGAGAATGTGAAGGTAGCGGTGGTACAAGCCCTAGGATGCCTCACTGTAAGACAATATATTCCCAAATACTATTTACATTACTTGAGCTAGAAAAAATAACATGTCTCAGAGAACCATCTATCCAAGGCTATTCAGTTACAGTACACCTCACCTCATACACCAGCTAGATCGTAAAGGTGGGCAAAATCTAAAATCCTGATAGGTTCAGTTAAACCCTATTCCCCCCCTGATGAGATACTTTGCCTTTGCCCTCTGGAAAGGAGTCTGCAAGGGAAAAGAAACAAATACTTAAATGAATAAGGATGGTTACCGTTTAAAGGAATCCTACAGGAGTATCATTTTAGAGGTATGTGCTTTTGCAAATTTTGTTCTAGTCTTGGTGCATATATATTAAGGACTGTTTATTCCAAAGTGACAGGCTTATGGAGGGGAGAAAGATACTTAACCTTCTCGGTTTTTTAGGGTGGACTAATAACTGAATCGACATAAGACAGATTAACAAGAGTAAATAACAAAATTTATTACATATGTATGGGAGCCCCAAATACCTGACAGAGAGACCCCAACATGCATAAGAGGTTCAGACAGAGAAAGGTAAAAATGGTATGCATGACATCCCAAGCTAAGGATAAGGTAC